TGTAACCTGAAGCGTCTGTAACCCAAGGTACCACTGTATTTTGTATACAAACATTACCTTTTAATATATTACATGGGGCTGCCACTTTAGCTCCCCTAGAGCTTCTCCTTCCCACCCCAAGAAAAAGCTTCTTTTTACACCTTCCTTAACTGTGGCTTAAACCACAGAGCCTAGGACTTGCCGATCAGAAGGTCGGCGGTTCGAATCCCCGCGACGGGTTGAGCTCCCGTTGCTCAGTCCCAGCTCCTGCCAACCTAGCAGTTCAAAAGCACATCAAAGAGCAAGTAGATAAATAGGTACCGCTCTGGCGGGAAGGTAAACGGCGTTTCCATGTGCTGCTTTGGTTCACCAGAAGCAGCTTAGTCATGCTGGCCACATGACCCGGAAGCTGTACGCCAGCTCCCTCGGCCAATAAAGCGAAATGAGCGCCGCAACCCCAGAGTCGGTCACGACTGGACCTAATGGTCAGGGGTCCCTTTAACCCTGTGTCTGAAACCACTCCAAGTCTGCAGCCCCACTTTTCAGCCATGCCTGCCCCCCCGCCACTTGCACACAATCCACTCATATGCTAACCCCACACATACATTGCAAAATCTAAGCACTCCTTTCACCTTCCACCCATTTATGTAGCCACCATCCCCTCCTATTCTGCCACCCATTTTGTACCCCACTTTCATCTTTACCCCCATTCCCATGCCTTCTCCTCTTTCCTTTTGGCACCCCCAGCCACATTTTCACCTTCACCCACTTTCCCTCGCTTCTCCTCCCTTTTCTCAGCTCCCCCCCACACACCTTGTACACGGACCACCCTCATTTCCATGCCTCCTTATACCAGGTGAGACTACTGGTCCATCTATATACATGTGAATATTCCTGGGGAAAGATTTTTAGAGTAAGTCTGCCACCTAGGGGCTGAGATGTTGTATAGTTCTGTGTCAGCCTAAGACCAGTATGTACAACCACAGCAACCTTAAAGAGAAACAAATTTATTGAGGGTAAGATTTCATGGACTGGGGTCCATTCATCAGATGCATAAACGTCAATCCTAAATGCCTAAATCTGTAAACATGGCTTTTGGAAGAATAGAAAAGGAGTATGGTCTGAGGGAAATAAAATGCCGAAAGGTCAGTGATACAGTGGTACCTCTGGATGCGAACGGGATCCGTTCCGGAGCCCCGTTTGCATCCTGAGTAGAACGCAACCCGTTACTGCGCATCTGCACATGCGCAGGTCACGATTCGCCACTTCCGCGCATGCACGTGACGTACTTTTGAGCATCTGCTCATGCGCGAGCGGTGAAACCCAGAAGTAATGCACTCCGTTACTTCTGGGTCGCCGTGGAGCGTAACCTGAAAACGCTCAGCCTGAAGCACATTTAACCTGAGGTATGACTGTAATTACATAAAGGCAAAACACTGCTGGAGTTCACATGGGTGGGTAACATCAGCATGATGACACAATGTCCAGTTTCTCTCTCCAGACAGGCAACCTCTGCATGAGATCACAATAGCCAGTCTCTCTCTGGGGCAGAGAAGCGGCGCTGGTGGAAGCAGCCCACTGCTACGTCCCACCTCCATTGGGGAGAAATGGTCCCGACATGTCCTTCCATGTGTCTCCCCCAGTGAGAAAAAGACTCTGCTCACATCTTCCTTCCTGCTCCAATGAATGGGGAAGAAAGCAATGCACCTTCGTTCTTCTACTGCTGCCTTTTCTCAGTGAACGACTGAGCAATGTATCCCCATGCTTATGTTGCAACCCCAGAGAGAGACTGGCGATTGCGATCTCATGCAGAGTTGCCTGCCTGGAGAAAAAGGCTGGCCATTGTGGCATCATGCTGATGTTACCCTCCTAAGGAGATACACACACCTCCTGCCCACACATTGGCCACCACGTTAATGAGAATGACACTCTTTGCCTCCTGGGCAGAGTTTTCTTACCTTACCTAATTACTAAACTGCAAGTTTCATCTCAGACAGGGAGGCAAACCCCCACTGCCCAGCAAAACTGTTTATCGTGGAGAATTACTGCCCCTGATGCTTGCAGGCTGCCCGTAATGCATGCTTCTGTGTACTTCATCTGACTGCCCATCATTTCTCTAAGGAGCAGGAAAAGTTAGCAGCCTCTCAGTGCCAGATTAAACCCTATGGCGGCCTGAAGGCAGTTGAAATGGGAGAGGGGGGCCTCGCAAATTATCTCCTAAAACTAAGAAAGCTTGAGTATAATTTTCTTTCAAGATCAAATCAATATAAGCCTATAAGACGGTGCCTACTCTGCCTGTGTGGTAATCTAGCACTGCGGCCTCTCTTTGGGAATGAGAATGCCCCAGAAAGCCAACTTGAGAAGACTTGAGCTATTTTATTAGAGAACAATGGAAAATGGATATACAGCAGTCCAAAGGGGAGGGGAGGGAAATGAAGGGAAAAGGAACTGTCTTGTCCTATGTCCTGTCAGGCTTGTGCGAGCAGGACAGGAGGCAGGTGGTGGTGAGAGCAGTTTCCCCCCCCCCCCATACTGTGGTAGGGATGCGGGTGGCGCTGTGGGTAAAAGCCTCAGCGCCTAGGGCTTGCCGATTGAAAGGTCGGCGGTTCGAATCCCCGCGGCGGGGTGCGCTCCCGTCGCTCAGTCCCAGCGCCTGCCAACCTAGCAGTTCGAAAGCACCCCCGGGAGCAAGTAGATAAATAGAGACCGCTTACTGGCGGGAAGGTAAACGGCGTTTCCGTGTGCGGCTCTGGCTCGCCAGATGCAGCTTTGTCACGCTGGCCACGTGACTTGGAAGTGTCTCCGGACAGCGCTGGCCCGCGGCCTCTTGAGTGAGATGGGCACACAACTCTAGAGTCTGTCAAGACTGGCCCGTACGGGCAGGGGTACCTTTACCTTTTTATACTGTGGTACCTTGGTTCTCGAACATAATCTGTTCTGGGAGTCCGTTCGACTCTTGAAACTGTTCAAAAACCAAGGTGCTGCTTCTGATTGGCTGCAGGAGCTTCCTGCACTCAAGAGGAAGCCGTGCCGGACGTTCGGCTTCCAAAAAACGTTCACAAACTGGAACACTTACTTCCGGATTTGCAGCGTTCGGGAGCCGATTTGTTTGACAGCTAAGCTGTTTGAGAATCAAGGTACCACTGTGTTTTTAATAGAATTTGCACTCCCATTGATTCCAGCTGGAGGATAATAAAATCTACCACCTGCAGGGTTGGTGTGCATTATTCCCCCCATTGCAGAGAAGGGTGGCTTTGGAAGTGCAGTCTTTCCAGGAGCAACAGCTGTGGTCCAGAGCTTTCTGCAGCTTCAAGGAAGACGCCTACAAGGACAAAGGTCTCTCTCTTGGCTCAGAGGATAGTGAGCTGTTGCACTCGGGTCCTCCTTTCAGTTTTCCATAGGCATCTGGTTGGCCACAGTCAGAACCAGATGCTTGACTAGACAGGCCACACCCAGCAGCCTTTGCTTACATTCTTAAGATCTGAAAAATCCCATAAACCTCAGGACGCCTTCACAGGGACCTTCGGATTTCAGCCTAAAACTACATGCTTATTTTTGTTTTACTTAGCCTACCCTTCCTCCAAAAAGCTGGGGCAACGGTTTCCCCTATCATCCTTGCAAAAACCTCCTGCAGTATGTGTTTTCCTATGCACTGACAGGAGTGGGTAACAGGCCAGGTTGGGAGAGCAGCAGGAGAGAGAGGCAAATAACATAATAGCCGGAGAGTGGCTGTGATTTTCCACCTTGATTTTCTTGTTTTTTCTTTTCGTAAACTGCTTTGAAGTATTTTACAATCAAGTGGTGGTGTAGAAACCTTATGAAATAAAATAAATAAATAGGACTTCCAGGACCTAGAACAAATGTGAGCAAGGGAGGTCAGCCTCTTGTCTCCAGAGGAACTAAAACTAAGTCGCAAAGGCAGGGAGAAGTGCTTTAAAGGGCAATTGTAATTTATCTATAATGAATATGCACTTGTGCCACAAGTGCCATGTCTACTTTTAAATACTGTAGTCTGTGAAAGCTTAAGCTGCAAATACACTTGTCAGACTTTAAGGTGCCACAAAATGCTTCTCTCTCTCTCTCTTTTTGCTGCAAGGGATTCCTCCCGATATCCCTCTTCAACAAGCCCACCAGTCCTCCAGTGTTTCAAAAGGGACCTGTTTTTCCCTTAGTTTTTCAAACCAGACAAAGGGTGGGAGTGGAGGTGAATGGAGAGTGTGTTGCAAAGTTTATTCTGGTCCCAGAGAATCGGTGCCTGCCTTCTGGAACAACGTACGCCTTGTAATATGTGAACAGCAGTGCGAGAGCATTTCTGTGTCAAACGTGCACTGTGAAGCCACAGCCTGCCAGTGGCACCAGATACAATCGCTACCGTGTGCATGTTGTTGGATTGAAAACTGCACTGAAGCTGCTAATTCTGTGCTAATGTGATGCATTTCCCAGGCCAATCTCCAATTAACGTGTAAGGTGTGAAATATTTTTGGGGGGGGAGCGTTCCTTGCAACTTATAAGCTTACACCTCCACCCACATAATATGTCTGGGGGAGAAAATCATTTTACATTTCTCTTATTCTCTCTGGCTGGCACCTCCTTGTTAGTGATGAGCTCAGAGTTGGCATGTGCAGCCTGCAGAATGGCCAATGTTATTTCAGATGTCCTCCTTCTGCACAGGTGTTACAGGTAGAAGAAGCTGATAGGTCTTCTACCTAAGAGCATTTGCAAATGTGAAACTAAAAATGCACCCGAGTCTCATTTTTGGTCATTTATGAATGTTGTTAACGAGCAAGCGAATTCAGAATGCAAATTGAATGGCTTTTCCTCTTTCTTGACAGATCAGTGTAAGATGGCACATTTAAGGTGGCAATCCTACACCCAACTGACCTGGATGTAAGCCCTATTTGACCACAATAGATCTTACTTCTGAACAGACATTATTGGAGTGCAGTAAGTTCCTTTATTTCTACTAGAATCAGGTAGAAATTCAAAAATAATATTTTCCATTTTTATTACATCCAGCCAAGACATGTTAATTCTCAAGAAGATCATGAAAACACACCACAAATCTCTTGGATGGTGAACTCATCTGCCATGGAGTGTACTCAACATTTAGCAGTGTTAGAACATGATGGCATTCTTCATGCATGAACACTACATAGCAATAGTAAAGGAAGTAACATTGACCATATTATAAAGTTGGAGATGGATGATCATAGGACTAATTTGTGCAATTTTGCCCTTCCCTGGGCACCTGCTCATATTGACCAACTTCAGTGTGTGGTCATGGATTAGCAACTGATTTATTTTTGTGACTGAGCCAAGTGAAGAAAAAGAAATGAAGTGATTGCCAGTAGCTGTGGCTGATCATCTGGTTGTGCACATGGCTTGTTAATGAAAATATGTACGATGGCAAGTCCACAACTTGCATGAGCGCAACCGTCATAAGAACATAAGAGCCCTGTTAGATCAGATCAATGTAGTCCAACATTCTGTCCACTGTGTGAGCAGAATAAATCACACAGAGAATCAGAAATCTTCCATATATGAGAACAGCATATAAGGCCTTTACAAAACACTTATAAAAGTATTTTTATAAACACCAAAAGGACTCCAAGCATTACAAAAATTAGAGTTAGCATCTGCTGGGTGAACTTGCTGGTGGGAATACAATGACAATCTCCCCTCTCCCAGGTGGGCATGCTAAGTGTTGCTCACAACACGAAGAGACACAGTTCCGATCTTAAAGCACTTACAACCTACAATAGACATTCAAAACAGGGGTGGTTGAAGAGAATGAGCAGAATAGGTTCTTATTTTCACCAGTAGGTTAGTTCAATGAGATATATCCTTACTCATTTGGTCTCTCTTATAGCTTAAACTCTGAAGAAGTCATGGCAATGTCCTTTCAAGAGACAGTGTTCAAGGAGAGCACTGTGATGTAATGTCTTTCAGTAATGAATAGGTTCCTGAGAAACCATCTGACCTATATGAAAATAGATTGAAATAATTATAAGTTCTATGTCTTCTTAGTGGGAGTCTTTCCTCATCTCTTATTTGACATGACAGGTAGCAAGAGTTCCTCATCGGGATTTGTTTTACTCTGTGCCTGTAAGGCTGGGAACTGCAACAGCAGAGGGGGTCTCCTGTTCTTCTTTTGGTCCTACGATACTTGCCCAATTCACCATCCAAGATTTCAAGATTTGGAAAAGCCGGCACATCACTAAACATGTTCTTTTCTTTGCTGCAAGAATGGCAGCCTTAAATCCTGTTCTGTCCAGGGTGTTACCAGGCATTCTTGCACTGCCCAGTGGTCCTTTAAAACGAATGGGAGGCTACAGATGCCCAGGTGGACTCTGTTAACCTAGAGAAAGTGGGCTCCAGTTGTGCTTCCATGCTGCCGGCAACTGTACCCTGCAACGGAATTGAAGCAGAGGACGATGTGGCAGGCAGTGCAATGTTGCTTCTCAGGAATGGTCCAGGAGGGCTGCTGCTTGCATCACTCGCAAGGTTGGCCACATTGAGGGCATTGTTGCTGACTGTCCATAGGCATGGATAGTGGCTGAAGCAAAGCAAAGCAAAAACAACAACAACAACACTCAACAGTTGAAATTTGCAGTGGTTTCTAGGGATGCTGAGGGACGCGGGTGGCGCTGTGGGTTAAACCACAGAGCCTAGGACTTGCCTATCAGAAGGTCGGCAGTTCGAATCCCCGTGACGGGGTGAGCTCCCGTTGCTCGGTCCCTGCTTCTGCCAACCTAGCAGTTTGGAAGCACATCAACAAGTAGATAAATAGGTACCGCTCTGGCACGGTACAAGTAGATAAATAGGTACCGCTCTGGTGGGAAGGTAAACAGCGTTTCCGTGCGCTGCTCTGGTTTGCCAGAAGCGACTTAGTCATGCTGGTCACATGACCCAGAAGCTGTATGCCGGCTCCCTCAGCCTATAGAGTGAGATGAGCGCCGCAACCCCAGAGTTGGCCATGACTGGACCTAATGGTCAGGGGTCCCATTACCTTTACTAGGGATGCTGGGTGTAAAGCACTTCTTGCAGTAAACTAGCCAGCCATTAGCCCTAAGTCCTTTTGATAAAAATCACAGCCAAACAGAAGCAATGGAAATCTTTCAAAAGGTGCAATTGCTCCTTTTATTAAATAGGGTGCTTTATGTCCTACTGTACAGAGGTCAGTCTTTCATTTGAAGGACTGTCCAGTCAGTTTAAATAATTGTAAGAAGCAAAAGCAAAGATCTTGAAGCTGCCTGTCAACAACTTGTACCTAGACAGTGCACTGAGCTGACACACAAAACTCCCAGTCAGTTTTCACCCAGTCTGCTCCACTATGGTGGGTTGTATTGCATTTCTATTTAATTTATTTCTAAGTATGCTCCATGCATATAAATTAGGATAGGAAAAGATTGTGTAATTGCATGTCCTCTTTTTTTGACCAGGTGTAAAGGCCACCCACTATTGGCAGAGTTTTTGTCTTAAAGTTATACATTGTTACTTCATTGTTTTACAGTGAGATTGGAATCCATAGTCTCTACAGGGACCTGGGTTCGTGCAATTTTTGAATCCGTTCTCATTCTGCCACCTCGCATGCCATCCTTCAACCTAAATGGAATATTCCGCTGTCTACAGCTACATCCAAGTGAAAATTAGGACAGAAGGTAAGGCTGGGGTAGAGCCTTTCTCCCTACTGTACTGGTGCTTCACTTCCCCCCCCATGGAAAAACTGAATCCCTTCCTTGCCATTCCAATTGCTACAATCTACTCTACAATCTCAGTATTCTACCATCTCATTCTGCTGCATGTGTAGACCACACCTTTACCCATTTCCTCCACAATTTTGTGGAGAAGGTTGAGCAAGAAGAGACTTGTTCATCTCCAGAGAGGCCACTGTCATACGTGATGGTTCTCCAAGGGAGCTGTTACACCGAAAGCTGCTAAAGTTGCTCGGTGGCTGCTGCTGATACGATGGGCAATTGCAAATTGATGGTGTGCTTACCTCGGACCTGGGGTGGCCGTACCACTGTTGTGAGGCACTGGGAGCAAGTTGCCATGGTGACTGGAGGGTACTGCAGCCCAGCCTTCGTGGACCGATGGTACTTGAAGTTCATTGTTGCTGCTTTCTATCAAATTCACTTTAGAAAGGGAAGCAGAAGTTGTTAGCAACAGTGACATGTTTCTAACAAAATTATTTTAAATGACAAATTAGAATGCATTTGTTTATTTGTTGCTGAAGCTGCTTTGAGACCCTGCATTGAATGTCCTGGAAGATTGAAGTATTCTCCTACTGGCTTCTCTGTCTTGTGATTCCTGATGTCAGATTTATGACCATTTATCCTTTGGCAGAGGGTTTGGCCTGTTTGTCCAATATAGAGAGCTGCTGGCATTTACTAAACTGAAAACTATGGAGAGACCTGTTCTGAATAGAGATATTGGATTCTTGTCTCATTACACATGCTAAAGCTATTTTTGGTCATCTGCATACTATCCCATGCTTATTCCTGTAGGACTAATTGCAGTCGTCAATAGGTTTACCATACCCATTGAGTCAATCACCCATCTCCTACTACCCTACTGAGAAAAACCCCACCCCACCCTCCCACTATATATAAGGGTCTGGTGACTTCTGTTTCAGTGTATCTGAAGAAGTGTGCACACACACGAAAGCTTATACCCAGAACAAACTTAGTTGGTCTTGAAGGTGCAACTGGACTATTTATTTATTTATTTCGACTGCATCAGACCAACACGGCTACCTACCTGAATCTAGATTCATGGAAAGCTAATAGCTCAATATATTTGTAATTTGTCTAATCCTTTTTTAAAGGCACCTAACCTAATTGCCATCCCCACATCTCAAGAGGTGAGGGAGAGTATTGCAGAAAAGAGATACCTGGGATGCACTCATGAACTTGGGAAGGGGAATTCTTTGAGATCATAAATACCTTTACCCTTAATTTAAAAAAGAAATAGGAACCATTTATCCATGTGTGGAATCAATAAGTTCTCCTAGGAAAACTCTCTCAGTTTACAGTGGTACCTCGCAAGACGAATGCCTCGCAAGACGGAAAACTCGCAAGACGAAAGGGTTTTTGGTTTTTTGAGTTGCTTCACAAGACAAATTTCCCTATGGGCTTGCTTCGCAAGACGGAAACGTCTTGCAAGTTTGTTTCCTTTTTCTTAAAATCGTTAATACAGTTGCGACTTGACTTCGAGGAGCAACTCATAGCACGCGGTGTGGTAGCCTTTTTTGAGGTTTTTGAAGACTTTGGTGATTTTTGAAGCTTTTCCAAAACTTTTCCGAAACCGTGCTTCGCAAGACGAAAAAACTCGCGGAACAAATTAATTTCGTCTTGCGAGGCACCACTGTAAAACCACATCTTCATTCTAATCTAGTCATTACATACATATACACATATTGACTTCCTTCCTTTGTTCTAAGACCTCAAAAATTTTACTCTTTCTAAATTGTTGTGTCTAATGTAGATTACTTCTATCTTTATACTTTTTTTACGCCATTTTCCTTTTTCTTTTACCCTGTAAAGCATCATTCATTACATAACCAATATACTTATTCCAGAACAATGTTTTTTCATATACTCTTTAGCACATCCCCATTCTTTTAATAATTTCGGGTCCGATTGCCCCCTTATGAATGCTGTGAGTCTTGCCAGATTTATATATTCACAAAATTTAATTTGCCATTCTTTCATTGATGGAATTTTTCTCCCTTTCCAATTTTTTGCTATAAGCATCCTGCCGATAACTCTCTCAGTTTCTTTGCCTGTTGATTTGTACTTGTTAACATTTGCAATGTAAATTGTGTGCTTCCTTGTTCTTGTTGTTTTTTAAGTCGTTGCTCTTTCCCCATAAATAGTTTTTTAAAATGTCAGGCCAAGAACTTACCTGTTGGAGAGTGATTTCTTTGCATGTATGAAGCAGGGTATGGAACAGCCCTATGTCCTCGAAGGGCCGAATAGTGCTCACAGCCGTGGTGAGAATGGGCAGCAGGCAGAGGAAAAGTCCCACCATACTGATAGCTTGAACTTCCTGCTGTGCACATGGCATCTGGGTTAGAAATCAACCAGCCACCCACTAGAGAGACATTAAGAAAAGAGCATTGATCAAGGAAAATAACAGCAAATGACAATCTCAAAACCCCTTTCTTTGCCTCTCTGTGTGTGCACACACAATCTACCAAAATGTTTCAGGCTCAAAGAGAGGAGGGAATTCTTTTAGTTTAAGATACCCAAACAGCCTTAGTTTCACTGTCAACATAAAGCCGAGCCTTATGAGGAACTCTCTCTCTCTTTTTAAGTTTCTCTTTATTTATTTACACTTTTCAAGTTTATACATTTCACTAATTTTATACATTTCACTAATTTTACAATCATTTTGACATTTCAAAACTTGACTTCCCCCTTTCTGCGGTTCCTTAAATTTATTTGTAATACCTTCTGCATATCCAAATTAACATAATTTACGCATTTATTCATCTTCTTTAAATATATACTCTTATAAAACTGCAGGTTATTACAATAATCCTGCCAATGTTTTTATCTGTTTATAATTTATCTGTAAATATTCAATACACCATTTCCATTCTTTTGTAAAAGATTTGTTGCCTTGATTTCTTATTCTTCCAATAAGTTTCACCATTTCTGCATATTCCATAGATTTTTGTATCCATACTTATGAGGAACTCTTGAGGGAGTTGGGTATGTTTTTAGCCTGGATAAGAGGTGACTGAGAGGAGATATGACAGCCATTTTCAAAAATCCAAAGGGTTGTCACATGAAGGATGGAGCAAGCTTGTTGTCTCCTACTCTGGAAGGTAGGACCCAAACCAACAGATTCAAGTTACAAGAAATTATGACTCAACATCAGGAAGAACTTTCTGATGGTAAGAGCTGTTTCACAGTGCAATGGACTCCCTTGGAAGGTGATAGATTCACCTTCACTGGAAGTCTTTAAGCAGAGATTAGATGGCCATCTGTGATGGATGCTTTAGTTGAGATTCCTGAATTGCAAGGAATTGGACTAGATGATGCTCGGGGTCTGTTCTATGATTCTAAGAAAACCGTAAGAATCTGCTAATGAAGGAAGTGCAACCAGCTTAAAAGGTAAAGGGTAAAGGGTCCCCTGACCATTAGGTCCAGTCGTGGCCGACTCTGGGGTTGCGGCGCTCATCTCGCTTTATTGGCCGAGGGAGCCGGCGTACAGCTTCCGGGTCATGTGGTCAGCATGACTAAGCCGCTTCTGGCGAACCAGAGCAGCACACGGAAACGCCGTTTACCTTCCCGCCGGAACGGTACCTATTTATCTACTTGCACTTTGACATGCTTTCGAACTGCTAGGTTGGCAGGAGCAGGGACTGAGCAACGAGAGCTCACCCCGTCACTGTCGCGGGGATTCGAACCGCCAACCTTCTGATCGGCAAGTCCTAGGCTCTGTGGTTTAACCCACAGCGCCACCCGCATCCCTGCAACCAGCTTAGCATGCTGGTAATGAAGGAAGTGCAAATGGCTTAGCATGCAAGCAGCACACAACAGAAATGTTGGGGACAAAATAAAATAAGCAACAAACAAACTGTTGTGGATAGAAGAAACCTTCTGGTTATATGTCATCCCATCAACAACCAGATGATATCCAGCATACAATGCCAATCAAAGGAGGCAGAGCTGGGAGCGGGAGGGGAAGTACAAGTCAAATGGTAGCTGTTGAAAATAGTAGTAATGTTCCTGATGTTAGAAGGTTAGTTATCCCACCAGAAGCCTTTCTGGTACAGTCATACCTCGGGTTAAATAAGCTTCAGGTTAAGCGCTTTTGGATTGTGCTCTGCAGCGACCTGGAAGTAACGGAACGTGTTACTTCCGGGTTTCGCCACTCGCGCATGCGCAGACGGTCAAAATGGTGTCACGTGCATGCGCGGAAGCTGCGAATCGCAACCCACGCAGTCGCGGGTTGCGTTGGCTTCAGGATGTGAACGGGGCTCCGGAACAGATCCCATTCGCATCCTGAGGTACCACTGTACTAACCACTGACAGATCAGGTTGCTGGAGCCAATTGGTCATTGGCATTCCCAAATAGGACAAAGAAATCAAAAGGCAAAACTTACAGTGAGAATATGTGATGTGCTGACTTTCAGAGACAATATCTGAAGCATCCTTGGGGTGGTTTCTGAAAGATAGTATTATTAAGGTTATTTCAATTCTAGCAAAACTACGTCCACACAGATGCCTCTCCATTTAATTATGGAGTTAATTGAGTACCCTTGGTCTGATCATTATTTTTCAACCTGACTTACTTTTTGTGAGGGGAAAACAAGAATCATAGCATAGCACTGTAGAGTTGGAAGGGACCCTGAGGATCATCTAGTCCAACCCCCTGCAATGCAGGAATATGCAGCTGGTCCATACAGGGACAGAGGGAAAGTCCAGAAGGTTTCTTGTGGGGAGTTTGGGGTACAAATGTTGTTATTGTTTTAATGCCCCATCATCACAGTGCACCTTACATGTTTATTCTGTCAGCAGAGCAAGTAGCAAGCCTGGGGACGATTATCTGAGGTCATTCCAGGACAAAAGGGCAGCAGGTATAATGAGGCTTATTAGGAAATAAATTCACCTTTCTTTTGCATCCAGAAAAGCTTTGGCAAAGGGGTTGTACTTGATCTTGAGAGCTGTTATCTTGAGTTTAGAAAAAGAAGAAGAGTTGCGTTAGCAAGAAAATTTGACGTTTGACAATTGATCATCTGAAGCCTGCCATTTTCCAGAGTAAGTTTTGCCAGAGGCAATCACTCTCGCGGAAACTTGCATTCTATTTAATCATGTAGTTATAAGTCAGTGGGTTCACTATACTGAAGGACTGCCCTCTTATGAAACAGTGGTATTTAGTTTGCTGCTGGAAGAAAATGAATTATAGGCCCCGAATTTCTATTCCATATGCTGTTGGGCAGCATCACAGTGCCAACATCCACAGTGTCCTTAGAGAAGCCAAAAAGATGGTTAAAAGGCCACAACAACATGGATAGAATTTGCTTCTTTCTCCATAGTATCATTAAAATAAGCAAGAACTAAAGCCTTTTCTGGTGTTTAGGGGAAACACATTAATGCCACTTCTGACCTTCCATGTTCAGCATACAGGTCTTGTGGTTGGGTGAACATGCTTTGAAACCTACCCATGATTGGGCACCTGGGTAACACAAGGTTTCTGTTTGCAAGGAGGATTCTAAGCACATTCACCCAATCACACTCAAAATCTACTTTCAGACCTTCATATTGGACTTGGGAAGATATGTAGGGAATATACACAGGAACATTGATCCCATATACGTTTACTTCAAAGGCCAAAATAGGGCTCAATACTTTTTCCCATAGGCTACCTGCAGTAAAGAGAGAGAGAGAGAGAGAGAGAGAGAGAGAGAGAGAGAGAGAGAGAGCGCGAACTAGGCACAGAATAGGTCTAACAAATTCTACATTAAAAAGATGAGATCTTAACATAAAATTGACCATCCAGCTATGAAAGTGGACAGAACAATAAATAAGTGGAAGTGTCACATTTTGATCAAGGCTGACTACTGTTGTTCTATTTTAAATTGTTTATCATCATTCATATCCTGCCTTTCTATAGGATATTCAGGGTGGCTTACAATCAAGATTAAAATACAGTTTTAACCAAAAAAACCCACCCCTTTCATCCTAATTTTAGCATTTAAGTAGGGAAGCATATCACTGGTTTTAGCATACACAGTGATAGGGTTTTATTAAACAATTCCCAGCTGTTTTGATGTTTTATACCCACCTACCTCTTCATTTTGGTAAGCAGTCACAGCTATGAACTGAGTTTCAGGAAAGGAACAATTCATTACCATCCTGTGTGGGCCTCCAACTCGAACAATATGAACCTGCGGCTCATATTTGTGCAGAGAATTCAACATAATCTGTGGCAAGAAAAAGTGAGGCAGAGATTGACCAGAAATAATGGTCCTGATTCAACGAAAAAACTAATAGTGATCAAGTCTCATTGAAAGCAATGAAACTGAAATGAACTGAGACTTGTTGGTTCCTTTGGCTTCAGTGGGGCTTAGGCAGTCTGAATTAGCCCTGGATCGTTAGACAGGTCTAATGTCTTATTCAATTCCAGATCATGAGCCTGCATCAAAGGTAGCCAACATGGTGCCCTCCAGATGTTGTAGACAACATCTACCATCATTTCCTAGTTAGCATGGCCAATATCCAAGGATGCTGGAAGTTGTAGTCTGAAACATCTTGAGGGCACCATGTTGGCCTCCCCCTGGCATACATGGCTCTATCTCACCTACTCCAGCTTAGGGGAGAGGGAAAGTTATGCGTGAATGCACACATGTGTGAAAAGGAAGCACTTCTGAGGCGAGAGAGAGAGGTTGGAGAGAAAGCTGAAGGAATCATGCAGCACAATGTATCTCTCTAGGAATCACTCAGATGTGTGGAATTTTTATTTTATTTTATTTTTTAAAATAACAAATATCGGTGGCCCTCATCACCTCAACTGCCTGAAAAACTAGGCAAACCAAGAGAGTCGTCCCAATGCATTGTCATACTATGGGAGAAAAAGAATGTAAATTAGCTGTGAATCATTCAGTCCTGATATGTGGACATCCACTGGTCTCTCAGGCTTGTATGTGGAGAAGCCACGTGGGGGCTCATTGAAAGTGGGGGCATCACGCACGAGGCACAGTATCCTTGTGATAACAAGAATCTCTAAATGCATGAGAGCAGAGTGCTCACAAAATCGCACTGGTGGATACTTTCCTTGTTTCTGTACTGTGCTTTGCTATGTACAAACTTGTAACTGAAATAATTTTGTGTGGTTATGTTTGTTGTTTGTAATATTTAATGAAAATAATAAAAACAAGTTTTGGAAAAAATTAAATCCCCCCCCCCCCGCCCATTAAGACCACTAAGTTCAAGAAATATAATTATCTAGCTGTACCACCATAGCAACAAAAACATGGGACTACAGCACTGTGTGAGTGTTTAGGCACCACCACAACAGCTAAGACATCTGTATTGCAATTTACATGCAGCTACTATCTATCACTAACTATTTAGAATTGGAGCTACTTAGGTTCTCTTTATTCCTTTCCATGACTGAACAATCTTGTACTTAGGATATAGGCTCAGCATTCGGGAAGCCAGGATTCCATTTTCAGGTTTGCTACTATTCCGCTGTGTGACTGAACTGGCAAGCCAGGAGTCCTCTGTGCCTCTGTTTTCTTATCTGATGTGATACTGAGCGCCATTTCCCACTTCATATCTTTCTCAGAAGGCTAGATTCATTAAGATCCTGACTGCCTGTGACCACCAACAAACTAGAGCATACAAGATTGAAAGTTCACCCATTGCTTGCTAATGGGTTTTCTGACAGTTTTGTTCCAATACAAGAGTTCTGCACAAAACAAGTCAAAGGCAATGTGTAACATTGTTTTTAATATGCATCTAAAGCTACAAACAGCCCAACAGAGCCAAATTTCCTCTTTGCATTTTTAAGGGTCTCGGAGAGAATGCCACTTATTTTCTGGTACAGGTACATGTTTTCTATTATTATTCCCAAGGCCAAAGATGATTCAATGGAATATTGATAATTATCATGAAGCAAAAGCAAGCACAGTAATTATTTCATTTAGGAGAAGCCTTTTATTCGAGTACCTGACTATTGCCAACATTCCACTTACGCACCAAACGGCATGGGGGAGAAAACAAAACCTTAATACCCACAATCATTTCCCCCTTCTCTGAAGTCCTGTGTAAAAACCTTAACACACAAGAAAAAACTATAGGGGGAAACATCCCTGATGGTTAAACCACAGCGCACTCTGTCTCTCTTAACATCAAGGAGTCCATTAAAATCTGAAAGCCCCAATTAAGACCTGTTTATTCCTGTTTACATTTGGACTCCATGGAATAATTGGCATCTGTGGGTGAAGAGGCCTCTAAGGGCCCTTCTAATTGCGTAAATGCACCCTTGATATTTCTTGATTGGTAGAAGCCTGAAACCAAAGCCAACAGGCATGGAGGAAACAGGGTGCCATACCTGCCCATTGCCATTCAACTTGTTGGTAAGTTTCACTTTACTGAAAGATACCGCAGCCTTCATCCAGTGCGCCCCAAAGTTGGGAGAGTCTGGATGGATATAGACACAGCTGTGATTCGACGGCTCTGGCTTTCCGGCTGGGACCCATTCTCCATTCACATACTTCCAGCGGTGGCTGTCAGTCGGAGCAAAATCAAGCAGGAAAGAATACATGGCATTGGGATCTAAGCCCGAGACACTGATCTTTAAGACAGGGAACATCCGTCTGTAAGAGAAACATGAGGAACGGGGGGAATTAAAACTCAGAAATCATCTTTCTCAATTACTTGTTCAGTAACTTCCTTATAAATTATGTCTGGACCTGTTTGCGTGTCGAGGTCCCCAGGGCCACCCCAATAACTCACACATCACACAGAATTTTTGTTTAAGGTTTTTGGCATAATTTTGGCCACAACTTTATTAAAATACAAAAATGTGAGTGGTTGCTTAGGCATTGGTTGTGACTATCTGCCCCCACCATGGGGGACAGACTGACATTCCGCACGATGAGAAAGTCAGAAAAGGGGAATACACTTGGGGGTAGCAACGGAGCAGGGAAGCTGCCCTCAGCCCTCCCCAAATGAGCCAGGAGCTCTTGCAGTGGCCCGAGACCCCTTGACAGGGTGGACAAGCAATAGTTAGCCCCCAATTCCTTTAATGGAATCCCTTGCAGCAGCAGCATTAGAAGGGCAGGCACAGCCAATCCATGCCCCTCAACTAACCAAACCATAAACCAATGCCTAACCACAACCTTACAAGTTGTGACAATTTGCTACGCAGTAGGCAAAAACCAAAGGGACGTGGGTGGCGCTGTGGGTAAAAGCCTCAGCGCCTAGGGCTTGCCGATCGAAAGGTCGGCAGTTTGAATCCCCGCGGCAGGGTGCGCTCCCGCTGCTCGGTCCCAGCGCCTGCCAACCTAGCAGTTCGAAAGCACTCCCGGGTGCAAGTAGATAAATAGGGACCGCTTACTAGCGGGAAGGTAAACGGCGTTTCCGTGTGCGGCTCTGGCTCGCCAGAGCAGCGATGTCACGCTGGCCACGTGACCCGGAAGTGTCTCCGGACAGCGCTGGCCCCCAGCCTCTTGAGTGAGATGGGCGCACAACCTTAGAGTCTGTCAAGACTGGCCCGTACGGGCAGGGGTACCTTTACCTTTACTTTTTAGGCAAAAACCAAATGGCCCCAGCCAATCGGCCAGATGGACAAAATTCCTACCGGGCCCCTGCCCCAAGAGCAGACGACCCCATGACAGGCATAGCAAAGTCAAAGTGAACAACCCTAATTCTAGGGAGGGGGGTACGGGCAATCCGATGCACAGGCAAAAAGAGGAAGCCCTAGCAAGGAGTTTTAGCATTTCTGGCTGTCAATCAATAAATGGCAACATTAACTTCTTCCCAACAACAAGGGAAGCCCCAATCGCATCAGTGGCCAACAATCAATTAGCCCGCCCCCAACTTTGGAGTGTCCTGGCGGCCCCCACCGCAACACGTGCTCTCCATGAAGGAGAACACGCTTTAACATCACAATGTGCTTTAACCAAAACAGCCAGCCATGATTGCATAAGCTAGCATGCATTATGACCAGGGCAACGTTTTCTGTTTCTAATAAAGAGTTAAGAACCTCACTTCTGGATCTCCTTTGTCCAGCATCCTATTCTCATAGCGGCCAATCAGATGCCTACAGGAAGTCTGCAAACAGGATGTGAGTCCCCCAGAAACCAGTACTCAGAAACATGCCTTGCCTGATGCTGAAGGCCATACTCCACCATCGTGACTGGTAGACACTGATAACTTTATTCTCCATGAATTTGTCCAATCCCCTTTTAAAGCCATTCAAGACTGCATAGACACAATTTTATTTAAAACACATGGCCTCCCCCCGCTAAGGATGCTGGGAATTGTAGCTACGTAGTCCTCAAGATTCTTGGGGGGGGTGTCATATGCTTTGAATGTATGGTGTGTGCACAGCCCAAGTAGTCATCCAGACCCTCCAAGTGTCCCGATTTTCCAGGAACAGACCTGGATTTACAGAAGCTGCCCTGTTTTCAGATTTGATCCCAGAAGGTCCCGCTTTTCCTTGAGATATTCCTATTTTCGCCAGAGAAATGTTGGAGGGGATGGAATAGGACGTCTCTATTTTCATCAGAGAAATGTCACTACATCATCAATACAACTGAGAGGGGATTTGCTTGCCAAGCTCCCTTTCCCTCTCTCTTACAAACAACAACAACTGCATTTAAGCACATTTCAGTACCAAAATGTTCATCTGATGCATTTATTTAATGCTGGTTCCAGGTTCCGAGAGGCACTTGGGCACGATATTCTCAGATACCCAACTTCCCCTCCTTGCCATTATCATTGCTGGCCATTCTCCCTTTAAGCCCATACTGACCACTAAGACAGTTAGACAAAACCTTGATAGACCTATCATCCATGAACATTAACCAACATAGTTAAATGAAAACGAAGTGTTCAGAGGCACTATACCCTCAAGGAACAAACAAGGCTGGCCCTAACATTAGGTAGAATGAGGTAGCCTCCTCAGGCAGCCTGCATGTGAAGCAGAGGCAGCCAATATGTGTGTCCCATACTGTCCTTTACCTCAGCAGCAAAATGTCTAGAGCTTCTCAATATTTTGTGTTGACCCTGAGAGATTTCAAGTTTCAGCTTCAGTTCTGGTTCACTAGAAAACATATATTTGAGGTAGCAATCCTATAATATTCTATGGAGTGATGCTCTTTTGAGCCCAAAATTCTGAACAAGTATGCTTAGGAATGCACTGTCAGTTTGGGGGTTTAGAACAGATTCAGTGTAACCCCCTGATTCTAACCATGTTCCTTTTGTCAACAAACAATGTAAAACAATATTTTGACAAAGTTCTGGGTGGATTTTGGCAAAAATCAGATTGGGTCTTCATGTGCTCTTCCTGCCATGGCATCAGATCTGTGTGTGCCCCATCATATATGAGAAAAACACACATAACCATTTAGATGTCATGAAAACCCATTGCTAATAGCATAATATGCACATATGTTGAATGGGTAGCCACTTTTTGTTTTAATGTTTATTTCATTAATGTGTTTTTAGCTGGCTTTGCATTTTGATGTTAAGTCTATTTTGGGGGGTTCTGTTGTAAACTGAAAAGCAGGGTACAAATTAAAATAAAGTAATTTGCGTACATTTGCCATACTTGTTGTAAAACACATAGGTTATATAGATAGATATCTGTGAAGGAAAATCACATCCAATGGAGCCCTTATAAGTTACAATCTTTCTGCAAGAAAGTTCTGTATCTCTGAGGGTGGGGGTTAGAGTGTCAGACTAGGACCTAGTTGCCCAGGGTTCAGATCCCCTCTCAGCTATTAAGCTCACTGGGTAATCTTGGACCATTCATGCTTCTCAGCCTAATCCACCTCACAGGATTCTTGTGGGGATTAAATGAGGAGAAGGAGAACACCATCTTGAGCTCCCTGGAGAAAAGATGGGATATAAATGCAACCACTCAATCAATAAGACTGTGTACTCCTAACGAAAATACTATTCCGGAAGATGATGAATGTTTTAGTTCTTTCGACTTTCTGCTTATTCATTAACATCCATCAGCTACGTACACATCACTCAGATATTCCATCTCCAAATCTACAGAAATAGCAGCTCTCAACAACCTCTGAATTCTGGAAAGGGGTAAATGGACAAGTTTGTTCATATATCAAGAAAGACCAGCATTGTTCAAAGAAGTACAGTATTTGGGTGCAATCCACTGGCAAAGTATCCTGCCCAAGCACCACTCAAACAACTGGAAGCTCTGCATTAGTGCTACTACTCCCTGCTCTCGTTCAGTCCCATTCAATGTGTCTTGCACAGGAGAATCCCCCCATGAGTTGCTGAGCAAACTAAGTGCACAATTAAGCTGCTGTCCCATAAACAGTTCTCTTCATCCCTCGCTTCCTCTAAGCAGAAGATAAGACTCACCTGCCATTCTTCGTGACAATCATCTCATTAGTAACTTCTCTGAATCTCTGCCATAGTGCAGCATCCTCTAAGACAACCTGGAGCTGTTTTTCAGTGGGGTCTCCTTTGTCTCTGCCAGCTTGGAGCTCATTCTCCACCACATTGAGCAGCCTGGAGACAGTGCAGTCACTATGTTTCTTGCAGCCCAAATCAGTCATGGTGACTTTAATGTCAGAAACTTCTCAGATGACTTAAAAAAAAAAGCAGCAACAACAACCCCACAGATCTGAACCTAAACCAATTAATTAGCCACAGTGGAACAAATGTGCTCAACTCAGCCTTTTGCCACAGACTTGCTCTTCCCCCCACTATGTCCCAACAGGAGGATGACACCTGTGTGTTAAGGTTTTAACATGCACACACAACCATTTTCTAATTACTGACTGTCAGGTGGGAGACAGCCTGATTAGGCAATTGGCTGCCTCCGAAGAAGAATCTTCCATTCAAATCACCAAGCTTTTATCTTTTCTGAGGAGGGTCTAATTATTCTGCTCAAGAACTATATTTCCATTAATGAAAATGGTTTAATGCCTCAACTGAAACAGTGAATGGAAAGTGGGTCTGTGCAGATGCAAATTCCTGCTAGAAATGGGAGAAGTAACAGCATTCAACAGCAATCTGTGGGGATATTACTTGATGGATATACAAATCTGCCCATTTACCTGTTATATATTTCTCAACAGCAAATCTTCTGCTCAACATCAGACCATACTTCTTTGAAACTGGAAAATAACTTGTGCAGGTTTCCTGTATTTGAGATTAAGGAGCTAATTCTGGGGAATGAAGTGAAGGTGGGTGAGGGGAAGTGGTGTGGTTAAGTTTTCTCAAAAGAATGCTAATACCTTCTGTTCACGCCCAGCACTCAAAACCGAGAACCAGTTTACACAACCATTCATAGGAGCCCACTCCTAGGGGCCGTGGCGGCTTCAGCCCCCACAATAAAATATTTGAGGGGGCTGGGCCCCTGCTAAGTTGATGGGCATTCCCATTCAAATGGTGTGTGTGCACTGCATCATGTGATCAGTTATGTGCAGGGGCGGCCTTACCTGGGCTCCCACAATATTTTATTCAAGTTGGTACCCCTGCAACCACTTGTTCCATTTCAGAGTGCTTTTCTTGCCCAGATTCATCATGCTTACAAAACTCAGTTTGGCGATAAATCGTCTGAATCCCCTGAAAAACAGCTTAAATATCTAGGGCATTTTAGTTGAGAAAAAAGGTTGATAAGAAGGGACATGATGGGAGCATATAAAACTGCATGTAGTCAGCAGTATGGAGAAAAGGGATAGGGAAAACATTTTCTCCTCTCATAATGCTCTCATAATACGTCATAATACTGACGTAGATTGCTTTACAAGTGGAATAGTCCATTAACTAAGGGTAGTTGTACTCAGAACAGTCCTTATTAAAATTAATGAACCTTAGTCATGTTAATTGATTTCTGTGGGTCTAGTTGAATTCTAGTTGAATACCATCCTAGCCTTTGAAGGATCTACAGGCCAGTGTAAAAATATTATTGTAAGTGTTCATTCTTGAGAAAGTGTGTTTGGGGAAGTGCGTGTTTGCTTTATAGCTAAACATTGCACACCATCATGTTGTATTCCTTGATTTTGGAGGGGGTGTCAAATGCTGATTTCTAACTGAATTCAGTTTTTTAAAAAAATATAAATTGAGCTGGAGAGACTTGGGCTTTGTATCTGATCAGTTACTAAATTCACTGAGTAATCTTGGACCAGTCACCCTCTGAGTCAAGCATAGCCTACATAACAAAAGGATGATGTGCAGGCTAGACCTATCTCCTAGGCTTACAACAAAAAGCACTCTGGCAGGTCATAGAATCATATAGAGGTGGAGGGGAACCCAAGGATCATCTAGTCCAGACATGTCCAACTCCCAAGAGACTGCGATCTACTCCCAGTATAAAAAAACTGGCAATTATCTACCCATTGTCACTGGAGAGAGGAGGAGTGTGCGTGCAGTGGGTGGATTGCCCAGAGTTGTTGAGCTCTTTTTTGAGGGAGGGTTGCACAGAGATCTACCGCAATCTACTGGTTGGACATCCCTGATCTAGTCCAAAGAGCCTGCAATGCATATCATGACATCATTGCTCCTGCTGAGAGCTGCACTCTCTCATATTAACATTGGTTAAAACACATGGTGCCAGTGATTAGTGAAGCAGTTAGCGCTTCAGTAAACTATTGGCTAAATAAAACATAATGGAACAGGGTGGAAATTGCAGAATATTCCCCTGTATACTCAGTATACTCTGCTGAGAAACGGGAGAAAACATAGTTTTCAAGATGCTTAGTTCACCTTCATAAGGGAAGATAAATTCAACATCAATATTGCCGGATTCATTTAAATTAGCATAGGTAATTATTGGCAATTTTATGATAAGCTATAAATTATTGCAATTATAGATCTGAATATGGTACTTGAGGGAGATAATTTAGCCTTGCCACACCTGATTTCCATTGTACAATAGATCAGTCAAACCTTGGTTCCCAAACGACTCCATTTGGAATGTTTTGGCTCCCGAATGCTGAAAACCCAGAAGTAAATGCTCTGGTTTTTGAATGTTTATTGGAAGCTGAATGTCTGACGTGGCTTCCACTTGAGTGCAGGAAGCTCTTTCAACCAATTGGAAGCCGTGCCTAGGTTGTCGAACATTTTAGAAGCCAAACGGGCTTCTGGAACGGATTACGTTCGACAAACGAGTTTTGACTGTACTGAGTGGGTGAAAAGCAGTCATTTGGCCAAAGACTGAAACCTTCCATGCTTTGGAAAAGTAGCATGTGGTTTGACTGCTCAACCATACTTCTCTTGGCTTCCCTGAACTCTATGAAAATTGAGACCTCTTCTTCTGCCATTAGCAACTATCACCTTAGCTATTAGGCGCTGACTGTGTACCAGTCCTGCAGTCTGCCTCTCTCAGCCACTAGAAACACGGTTAATTGGCCCTTTATCTGAACTGATCCCTGCAAAAAGCAATGAAAAGACTAATCTTTCCTAAATCACGTAAAAGTCCAATAATCTCCGATGGTGTCAAACCCTGATTAAAAACACCAGCAAAGCAGCTGTCTTTTTGTCCTTCCTAATTATGACTTGGCATTGTATGTCATGGCTGGGTGGGTATTTGGTTTCCCCAGGCTTCTGGAACTGAACGTACAGGGAAGGGACGGCATTCAAACAGGACGTCTGGGAGATGGAAAGAATGAGCTTGTTTCTTGCAGATTTCATTTGATCAAGAATGTCTCCTCTTTTTTTGCATGCAGTATAAAGGTCTGTAGGAAAAAACAGCTATCAAATATCAGACAAGGAGGGGGAAAGACCTTTCCATCTTCCCCCCAACCTTGTATGATGTGAGCAGGTATTAGCTAAAGGGGGGTTTTAGACTGAGCTTAATCAGCAAATCAGTAAGTCAAGAAATAATCTCAAGCAACGTCTAGGCAAACGTGCACACTGGTAAACCTGCACAAGCAATGTTAATGTATACAGCATTCATTAGTGATGACCGTTGCCTGTACCTGTTTGTAATATTCTTTAAAATCAAATGTCACCATGCTTTGGATTTACAGTATTAATGGCAAATGCATTGCAACGACAGGGGCGCAAATTATTGGTGTTGCACTATGGCAATCTGACTTGCTGTGCAACATTTATGGTTTCATTCTATGCATGTCAGATGATAAGATGTCCCACTTCTGCATGTTTATGCCAAAGGTGCACTATTCTGACATTACACAAATTCACTCATTTACCATGTGATAACCCAAAATAAGCTGTTGGGTTTTTTTACCAAGTCAGACCACTGGTCCATCAAGATCGGCATGCCTCTACTTCACTGACTGGAAGTGAGACTCTAGGGTTTCAGCCAGGACTCTCTTACCTTTCTACCATTTCAACTAGTAATAATTCATTTATTATACCCTGATCAACTGCCTGGGCTGCCTCAGCCACACTGGGAAGCTTCCAACAAAAATTAACCCCCCCCAAAAAAAAAACCACCACCCACAACCAAACAAACATCAAACGGTAAAAGCTTCATGAAATAATAATAAGAAAGCAAACATTATCTTCCATTCCATGTTCATTAAGAACCTTTCATATGCAAGGCTGTCCTTAGTGAAGAACACAGTGGCCAGACTGCTCAAAGGTTACCAGCAACATGTTACTTTTTTGCTGAGAGAGCTGTGGTGGTTGCCCATGTGTTATGTTAATTCAGAGGTGGACAACTTGGGCCCAAATACCTGAAGGACCTCCTAATCTGGCAGAGGGCCTTCTCGGTAGTGGCACCCTCCTTTCAGATGTCAAGGAGATAAAGAATGACACAACTTTTAGAAGACATCTGAAGGTTGCCCTGTATCGGGAGGTTTTTACCACTTGATGTTTTTATTATGTTTTTAGATATGCTGAAAGCCACCCAGAGTGGCTGGGGAAACCCAACCAGATGGGCAGGGTATAATTAATAATAAAAATTATTGATTTATATTAGTAGTAGTAGTATTCACCAGCTCAATCTCTGATATCTTCTGATAGGGCACTCTTGCTGGTCACCCATGCCCCAGAGATTCATTCATCCCTTATCTGGGGCTGCAAGCTTAAAGTGAACTGACTACAAGGTAAGACTGTAAACAATTTCCTGTTCCCATTATGGTATATGGCCAACACTATTAAAATCTAATCCATTGTTCAAAGACTACTCCATAGCTTCAGTATCAAATTTCAGCTTTCTTGAAATGTTTTGCAGTGCTAACTTTATAGAAAAATGATGTACACATGTGTTGAGAAACCAGCTTTATTACAGAAGAGATAGTGCAGTAAGAGTAGTACAAAGTAGTAGTTTTTTTCTTAAGGCAGAAAAAAAGACCAGCATATACAAAAGGTACAATACAAAAGCCAACAAGAAAAGTGTACAAAATGGAACATCCATTCAAGCTTTTTTAAAAATCAAAACCTTATTACAAAAGTCTCCATTAATGCAGTCATATTGCATGGTGCAAGTAGGCACTTTTTTGTTTTCCAAAAAAGTACATCATAAAGAAGCCACCTTATATTTAGTAGCTGAAAGGCCTTAAGCTATGACACTGACATATTTGTAGTTAAGGCCAAGACTGGGTTCATCTAAAATAGTGTTGTAACAAGTGTGAACAAGCTACTGATTAATTTGAGAAAGTGACCATATACATCTAGGACAAGAAGAATAAGGAACTAAATCATTTCCATAATGTGAAAAAATGCTTTATGCCAGAACACAAAGGGTAACTATAGCAGAAATTTAAAATTCAGTATACAGATGATTTTAAAGTCCCGGGAAATAAAAATTTACAAAGATAGTGACAGCTATGTCTTACCACCATAATCCACATTTAGCAAAGATCCCAGTAAATAAAAATCAATGTCATGATTTGAATATTTTTAACTACGTTCAATGTTATCAAGTGACTTAAAATCGGACTGAATTAGTTAAAAAAATATATTCAAATCATGACAAATATTCAAATCATAACATTGATTTTAACATTTGAATAAAAACCCAAATCTTTAATATAAATGCAGCAGCAGTGTCAATATTAGAAAGGTACTCAAAGACAGATTTTAAATAGAAAAATTACAACTAGAAAGTATCGGTACGAATATCTGAAATGCATTCCGTAATTAAATATTGCAATATTTTAAGAGGAGCTGCTTTAGAAGAGATGCAGCACTGAGGGCTTATGTGTCTCATTCTGCTAAATATACAGCTACTGATCCTACCCCTTTCCATACTGAAACCAAGTGCACTAATAATCCAAATTTAATAAATGGATTTCTGAAAAAAGAAACTTTCTCCCCATAAAGTAAACCTATTACTACAGCAAGGAAAGCTTGACAAAACTGCTCAAGTTCTTCTTTTAAATATTTGCAAGTTGCAGCGGTACACTAGCATGGCATTTAACATCCGGAAAAAACCCTACATTACCATTGTGCAACATCTGCAATTGGGGGTGAAGACCCTCTAAATCAAGGAAGTTTTGAGAATTTTAAAGAATGCAAAAGCACCATTTTACCAGGGGGAAATGTGAAACAAAGGTTCCAGCTTGTGATGTGCACATTGCCTTCTACACTTTGGGGAGTAGGGGGAACAGACCTACTGTCTGTCTCCAGCCCAAAAAAGCTAGCTGGTAAGAAGATCAGAGCTGGTATTTTAAAAAGACCCAATAGGATTTATGACTCCCCTGTACAGAAAAACCAGACCCTCCAAACTCTGAGAAATGAAGGGCAGAGTTGTCCCCTGCCACTTCTCAGCAATGACTTCCCTGTGCAAGTATTTCTCCAGTACTGAGCTACCAAGCCCAGATGCTGAAGGATCCCTGTCCCTTTTAAGAAAATTCTACCTGGCTCCTTAGCTTACTGCAGTGGTGTGATGAGAAAAGCCACACCAGATGAAATTCTGCCTTCTGTGCAACAATAGCTGTCTTAGGGTATGACTGGCAACCCTGTGCCTTTTCGCCCTATGCCTATATGACTCATAAATCAAGGCTGCAATTTCCCACTTGCGCACTGTAAATTGGTGGACTACTCAAACCAAGAAATTTCACAGACTTTCATTTATATAGCTTACTGACATCAGAGCTGCAGTTCTAGAATCTAAAAAAATATATAAAATCCTCATAAATACCTAATTTTGCAAATCTCTAAATGTGCTTGCTTGGCAAAGCTGCACAGTACAACTAAGCTTCCTAAAAACCCAGGTTATAAATAGTCAATAATATCCTATGAAAAAGCTATAGAGAAAGTTTTAGACAAGATTAGGGTGAATTCTGGTACTCCAGAGTTGTTCAAGGAAATTTCTGTGCTCAGATACACAAGTGCTAGTCTCTGCCCAATGATGGGAGAAAGCAGAATAGGAGGTATACTAGATTAAGACGGTCAGTCCCAAAAGCCACTACAGCAAAGAATTTGTTCAATGGCTCTTTTCTTTTGCAAACAACACCTGCAGCTTCAAGGTTTCCCAAAATGCTCTAAGACACAAGCTTTAGGATAGCATTAAAAAAGGACAAATCACTCTCGAATAACTGTACAAGTATTTCTTTGGAGGGGAGAATACCCTTCATTCCTTCTTAAATGGAGACAAAAAAATCTAATTGCACCAGTTGAAGAAGTGGAATGCAGCAAAGATTCCCAATGTCTAGGTGTTTGCTCCAATCATTACATGATAATGTCCTATTAGGAAGCCAGAATGTCATGAACACAAGTCCCTCCAACTGAAAGCAATCATCAGCTAGGCAGACAATATAAACAGAAATCAAAACATCAAGATTAAATAGGGGAAAGGGAATTTGAAAAACATGAGATGTTCCTTTTCTCCACAGTTGGGAGAGCTGTACAAAGTCATATTTTAGATGGATGTGGATGGGAATCTAGCAAAACCAAAGCAGCAAGAGTGGCAAATAATTCATGAGGCAATGTTAGCACTAAGGCAGAGGTCTTGACGTTACTTCAGAGACCATAAAAAGTAGGCAGTAAACTGCTTGCAGAAGTGGAAGGGCACTTGCTTGCTTTCATGATTCCCACTAGTATATTCGCTCATGCTGCTTGTTGCTGGTTGGACAATGAATCAATGTCTCGGTTATATTACAATAAGGAATCATGCTTGCTGTTCAATTAGAAGGCAGCTCCTCTTAAGTTCCCTTATACGATTGCAGGAGACAAAAAGTACTTTGGGACCCAAGAAATGAACTCTGAAAATCAATCTCTTTGCTATAAGGCCACAGTAGCCAGTGTGTAAACTGTTCTTTGGACCCTGTAAATTAAGAATGTGTGACTAGTAAATTTAAATCCCACCTACTTTGCAATTACCATAATATCATTTTCACCAGCAAAACAACAAAATCTGAAGTTGACAATATTGCACCTAATGGACACAACAGCTTAGCTAAGCGAGTGAAAGGAATGTTTTGTTGCTCTTTGGGCTTCTTATCACAAAACTCATAACCCTTGGGAGAATACTTTGTAGCTTTGTCCAGTGATTCACAGGTTCACTTAGCAAAATTAATAGCCTTGCCCCTAGGAAGGTGTGTTCAGATGCAAATGCTAGATGACTGTGCAAACCTTCTAGTCCTCAAGGTCACATTTCAGTGTAAGGAAATGGTGCTTATCTTGCTGGCCTGCACAAAAGCAATGAATTATATATTGAAATAAAGATGACAGCTCTCAGTCAAAAGCCTTTACAACATTTACAACTTTACATCAGTCAGGTTGTATATTGTTTTCCTTTCCCAAAGCACAAGTTAAATTACAGTAAGACACTTTATAGCATGGGTAGGCAAACTAAGGCCTGGGGGCCAGATCAAGCCCAATTGCCTTCTAAATCCAGCCCATGGATGGTCCGGGAATGAGTGTGTTTTTACATGAGTAGAATATATCTTTTTATTTAAAATGTATCTCTGGGTTATTTGTGGGGCCTGCCTGGTGTTGTTACATGAGCAGAATGTGTGCTTTTATTTAAAACGCATCTCTGGGTTATTTGTGGGGCATAGGAATTTGTTCATTTTTTTCCAAAATATAGTCTGGCCCCCCCACAAGGTCTGAGGGACAGTGGACCGGCTCCCTGCTGAAAAGGTTTGCTGACCCCTGTTTTATAGGTATACAGAGGCTTCTGCACACAGAGAGAAGTGCTTATGCCTCCTCTACATCACAGACCGGTCTTTATCTGCAGTCCCAGCAAAACTGTGGGTTCTGTTTATGCACATCTGCAGACTGGAGCGAATATGTAGAAAAGCCTTTTAAAATTGACAAAATATATGCCTACTCATAGCAATGGGTAATAAGACACCCCCCCCCACCAACTTCTGGAGCAGATTTTGAAGGCGTACAGTGTGCTGCAGAAGAGAGAAGGGGGAAGTTCCATTGCTCAAGTTGTACAAGTGGAACAGCAGCATAGGCTACAACCCAATATGGGCACCTAAAAGACCATCTCACAATTAATTTCTCTTTCTACAGTGTGACATCAGCAAAGAGCAAAAATTTGGGACATCTCAGCAAATATAGGTAATCATTAAGCTGCCTCACTTTATCCAGAAACAAGCTCCAAATGAGTTAGACTGTTTAAGACTGGAGCTCAAGTACTAACAGGCTGAATCTAGACATATCAAAGAAGAGATTCAGTTAAATGTGTTGTAAACTTCATACAAGGGAAATCCTGTTGGCGAAAAATGGGCCTCCACAGCACCATCTGGTGTCACAGTGTTATAATGCATATAAAACGCTTTACAAATGTAGTTGAGTCCTCAGTGTACAGGACAGTTTATATTTGTTTTATGGCTCTCTTTTGTAAGCTATCTTGAAAATCTAGATTTAAATACACATTTTCAAATAAAATAAAAAGCTAGCAATGTTTAGGTATGCTACTTAAGTGTATAGTCAGAGATTACTGCATTAAAAAGAAGGAGCTGGGGATATAACTATTTTACCACAATATTTCCCGCCAATACTTACCAAGTCGTTTGAGTCTCTGTTATGTGATACACACAGTGACACACTTCTTCACAGCATCCCTGCAAAAATAAAAACAAATACACTGTCCCCTTAAGTATTTGAATAAGCCGCACAAATATTTAAAATGTATAAGCAATGACCCTTCACAGCAGCAGTGATTTTTGACAAACAGAATCATCTTAGCACTGCTGGGTAAATTAAGAAAGACCTGTAGTGGGACAGAAGCCATCCTCTCTACCGAACTGCAACTTCTCAAGCAGTTCAATTCTATTAATCTGAGTCTCAATAGAGACAATGGTTTTCTGTCCCACTATAGGTATGAAGGGTCACCATGCTCATTTTGCAAATGTTCTGCTCTAATTATATGGCTACTTCACTCAACAATGCTAAGGTGTTTTTTGTTATCACCAATCACTGCTGCTTTGAAGGGTCAATTTGCATACACAACTCTAATTCAACTGTCGCATAATGCATTTTTACCTTTTACATTCCACTGCCATTTAACCCTACCTTCTACATTAATCTTTTCCCTTTTCAGCAGTGGTGGTTAACCCAGTAACTGTATATGGCGCTATCTGCCAATACAGTGGTACCTTGGGTCCCAAATGGCTTAGTTGTCAAACAAATCAGCTCCCGAACGCCGCAAACCTGGAAGCAAGTGTTCCAGTTTGCAAACGTTTTTCGGAAGCTGAACGTCCGATGCAGCTTCCAATTGGCTGCAGGAAGGTCCTGCAGCCAATCGGAAGCCGCACCTTGGTTTTCGAACAGTTTTAGGAGTCGAACGGACTCCCAGAATGGATTAAGTTTGAGAACCAAGGTACCACTGTATACAGGTTTTGGGTGGCCTGCAGGGACTCAGCAACAATTCTGTGGCATCCAAGCCTATGTACAAATGAGGATCACATTTCATCTGATGAAGCATATGCCATAATAAAAAACCTTAAATCTTTAAAGCACTACCAGACTTTGTTTTTTCTTGCAATAAACTAACATAGCTACCTGTCTGCAAATTGTTACAAAGACTTTCAACATAGATCTATGGGTAGTTTTGCCACAAACAAAAATATATAATGCTGCCACTCTCTGTTCCCACAAGACCAACATTTTCCATGAAAACTTTGCTCTAAGCTTTACTGTAACCAAAGTGAAGTATGTATCTGAAATAACCTCACATTCTTTCCTTATTTGCTCCTGCCTCCATTTCCTCTGTTGTCTCTTTTTATCAATTTATATATTTTAAGCCCTCAGGGCAGAAGCCTACCCTCTTGTACTTTCTCAGGTACAGTAATGGCACCATATAAACAATCTAAATGATAAATATTTGTTTGGGATTTATTAATCATAAAACACATTTCACAAGAGTGCTGAGCTTTCTATATTTTCAATCACGCAGCGCTATTATCAACCCTACGAGTGAAATATTTCACCTCCTCTATTCAATCATTCCACATAGCAAGTAATCTCGAGAATACAGAGAAGAATGCATTAAAGGGAGATCGATTTTTCCAGCCATCCATATCATAGAAGAAATTCCCCTTTTATGTTTTATGACCTGGGTAGCTCCTGAAGCAAATGGAGGTCAAGATTACCTTGCATATGGTATGTAGGAAATGCTGTACCTAGAAGAGAGAGAAGACAAACACGTGTATTAGAAAGAACAGGCGTATACACACACACACACACACACACACACACTCTCCCACAGAGTGTCAATGGCAAGTCTGCATAACACATGGCCCAAGCCAAGGGTAGTCTACCACATATTGTGGCTTGGTAAGTGACTGACAAATTAAAACTAGCATTTGCTTTCCAGTTTAGTTTTCCAACTATCCATGTCAGGATCAGTTTCCATCACCTCTCCCACCCTTTCCACATGAAGCAGAGTCTCCTTCCAGGAGAAAGGTGGAACATGAGCTCATTTTCTCATTGTTTGCAACATCTGCTCACATGGAGACCACTTGTGAAAGAGGAAAGTGGCCAAATGTGGAAGATCAACAGAAGTTGACAATAGTTCAGCCAGGCCTTGGCGACTGTTACTTTAAGGTAGCTAGACTTTCATAAGAAACTTCCTGTCCAAATGGAATCCCCAACGGCAATTGGTTGAGAAAATTTTAGGAGGCGGTGTATTTATGGACATTGGGCTCCATTATTGCAATCTTTTTATAAAGATATGTGACAGAGAGGGTGAGGAAAGAAACCTCTCCTGTTATACATATACACAAACCTATTGCTATTAATAAATATAAAATAATAATAATATCGATCTCTAAAGCACCTAAAATTTACACACACAAATACACACACACACACACACACACACACACAAATATATATATACACACACACATATTAAATGAAGACAGTCCCTGCCTGTAGGCTCACAATCCAAAAGACATAAAGGGGGGGTCATTACTTACCATGCTAAGGCGAAGAACTGCAAAATGCAGAAGATGAGGGCAAGTCCCTTATTGTGCCACTGAAAGAGGAAGAAATCATCATAAATCAAGCAAAGAAAATGTCATTAAATTTATATGCATAGTTACATCGGAGATTCAAGTACTTACCCAAAAAGCTGCGCAAAGAGTTAATATGAGGCATAACTAAAAGAGAGGAGACACAATCTTAAAATAAGCAAAACATTAAAACTGTAACTGAAGATGAATGGGGTTTTGGGGGGTTTTTTTTTGGTTTTTTAGCACTGGACTACAGTGTCAGGCTGCAATCCTAAGCATACTTAAGTGGGAATATTTTTCTTCTTTTTAATCGTCTCGTTTAATTCATCTCTGTGCTAGAAATTGTCAGACTGCATGTTTTATGCTATTGTTATTTTATCATACTGTATTTTATCTTTTTATGTTTATCAATCACCTGGAGAACACAAATATTGGAAGGCCTTATACTGAGTTAATTATTAGCAACAGTAAGTCCCACTGAACTGAAGTGAAACTTACTTTTGAGCAGACATCAATAGGATTGCACTGTCAGTCTGAACATCTGAACCAATAGTACTGAAGTACACTATAGCTAATTTAAAGTAACCCAAGGATCAGCAATAGATGAGTGACCTATGTATTTTGGATTTTCCAGGGAATTATGGCAACACTTTTGCCCCTACCTCATGACAAAAGGACCTGGCTTCAGCAATATACCAATAAGGACACCCCAAGAGTATCAAGTTGGGGTGTCCTAATTGGTACAGAACTTCCTAATTAAATACTCATACTCCACTTAATTAGCAGGTTATGTACTGATAAGCACACCCCCACACTATATAGTTGCAATGAATCAAAGGTCAATAAAAGCCCTAAGAATATGTCCAATATATTTGTCAAACTATTTCCAGTATCTTATCCCAGCACAAATAAAAAAAAAGACAAAGCCCCTATCTCAAACATAGTAGCAGTCGTAACTAAGAAACATCAGTCAAATTTCGAAGGAGCAGTCTAAAGATACACATTTGCCATGACAGCTAAATGGGATCATTATATGCACAGACACAATAGCCCTCCAGGTACAAGATGCTGGGGACATACGGGAATACAAATCATTTATTTGTTTATTACCCTTCCTAGAAATGCACATAATTAAGGGCTACAAAAAGCCCACATGCCCATTACAACGTAAGCTATATTAAGAAGTACCAACAGAACAATCCTAGCACAGTTAACAAACCATAGGGAACCTTCTTCAATCGAAGGGCCGCATTCCAATTTGGGAAACATTTTGAGGGCCACCTGACTGTGGTGTGTGAGGCCAGAGGCAAAATGAATGGAACATTGAATGTAAATGTTAGCTTTCTACAATAGACTAGTTTCGACACACAGTCACACACTATCATCTAGCCAGGTTACCATGAGGCATTACCAGAGTTCAAGATGGAAACATTTGGAATGCAATTTGGGGGGAGGGTAGCCTAGGAAGGCTTGTGAGGGCCAGGTAGAGAGGGCCTGAGGTTCCCCACACCTCCCTTAACTGCTCCTTCGGTTCATGAGACTTGTACTTACAATTTTTTATTATTATTTTACAATAAACACATGCCAGAAATACTGCCCCTTTGTTTTGCATCACTTGTTTTCTGACTATTTAGGAAATACCAACTACTGATATTTTACCACAAGGTACTTTTATTTGCTACGTTTGCTAGTATTTTAAAATTAAGCAAATTCCCTTAAAAAGAGGATTAACACCGATAGCCCTCTCAATTCAAATGCAAGTTAAAACAGAAAAGTTTTGTTACTTACAAGCATAACAGCTGTAGCTATCAAACGAGTGGGTTCAAACATTCTTTTCAACTGATTCATCGGTCCCATAAGAAAGACAGTGCTATAAAAAAAATTATTTAACCCATCTGCTAAGAGCAAAACACACAAATGCACATTATACAAGCTTAAACTGCTACCATTACTGTATTGTAGGAATCATAAACAGACCATACTTTAGCCTCAAAGGTACTATAATCACATAGTATAACTCATAAGAGAAAATTAGGGAACACTCTATTGGAAAACAAGTAGTAAAATCATATAGTATTAAAAACAATACGGAAGCCATGCCAACAGAGTTAAATTGTTTCTCTGATCCCCAAACATAAACATGAGACTGGGA